TCTTCTAGAATATTCCTTTTTAATCTGTAATTTTGAAAGAAGCAGACGCAAAAAATTTTTAAAACCCACCCTCCCTCCCCATAATTTTATATTTTATCCCCCTTTAGCACCTCTGCCATTTTTTTAATACATTTTCATTATAATTTTTTTTCCGGTTGTTTTTTCGTTTCTTTTAATTTCTCATTTCAGCGTCATGGCATGGATCGAATCCAGAATCGTCCAATGTCGCGAAAAAAATTTTCAAAGTGCGTTGAATTTGGGACCAAATCAACGCACTTTGAAAAAATAAAATTTCTTTTCAAAGTGCGTTAATATCGACCATATTAACGCACTTTGAAAAAATGTGCATGGATTGGTCAATATTCTTGCAAATCTTAGATAGGATAAATAATTGAACCTGTTTGATAACTCTTCTGTGATGAGGACACTTCAGGATGTGAAAGTGAGCGATTTTGATTTTTCCATACTTTAAAAAATTCTTTCTCTCTTAAATGCTTTACTGAACTTAATTTTTTCCTGTTTGCATGCATTTTATTTAAACTTAAAATTATTGAAAGTTTTCAACGTCATACCAGTTATGTAAATACATATATTTTGGTGTAGCATAGGCATCAGTACCAGGAAGGATAGGGGTGGGGGGTTTACATGTAGGTAGGCACACAAATGATTTGCAAAGTTATACATCATATATGTATGCATTAAAAATTGGGGCTAACCTGGGACAGGGGGGGGGTATGGAACGCCGGGACTGTCTTATATGAGGATTAAACATTATATGCAGTGTTTCCTTCATTATATGCGGTACTATTTTGATTATATGAAGTAGTTTTTACATTATACCGTGTACAACTTCCATTATATGCAGTACTTCTCTCATTATATGATGTAGATATGTCATTATATTATGTACATCTATCATTATATGAAGTGCTTTCAACATTATATGCGGTAGTTCTAACATTATATGCGGTAGTTCTAACATTATATGCGGTAGTTCTAACATTATATGCGGTAGTTCTAACATAATGTAAAGTAAACACAACAATATATTATGTACTTCTCACATTATATACAGTATATTCATCATTATGTTTAGTATTTCTGTTATTATGATGATGCTGATCGTTAAATATTATTTCCGGTCCAGTTAGCATTCCGTGCAGTAGATTTTGCCATAGGCGCTTGGTTACAGGATGATATATTTTGTGTATTATATGTTTTTCTAGGTGTGTCTGAATACCCTCATCAAAATAAAAATAAAAATTCGCTGAAATTAGCGCGTTTTAAAAATGTCATAGTAACTGTATAAAAAGAGTAAAGGAGCGCCACTCGCCATCTTGAATCATAGGGGGTGCCTCGGTTCACACGTAATTTTCATCTATATCTACATTTTTCCTACCGGTGTCGGGTGAGATCTAGCTTCAAAAATGATTGAATCACAACTCCCTATTATATGTTGACCTACATATGCCGTTTTAAACAAGCAGTGAACCGAAACGTCCTCGATTCTTGCACCTGTTTATCGAAAGCAACGGAAGTGGCGATTTCGACTATGTAAAATGTAGAGGCGTCCCGGAAATACATGGAAAATCTAGAGAGGTCAGAAATCGCGCCAAACTTGTTTTCTCTAGATTTTCTGTGTTATTCCGGGACACCTTTATATTTTTCATCGTTAGAAATCGGCACTTACGTTGCTTTCGATGTCTGTACATGGTATAGAGGACGTTTTGTGTTAACTGCATGTTTTATGCGGCAAGTTCAAATCGGCAGACGTTTGAAAGGTGTTATTCAATCATTTTCGCAGCTAGATCTCGTCCGACACCGGTAGGAAAAATGTAGATATAGATGAAAATTAAGTGTGAACCGAGGCACCCCCTATGATTCAAGATGGCGAGTGGCGCTCCTTTACTCTTTTTATACACAGTAAATATGACATTTTTAAAACGCGCTAATTTCAGCGAATTTTTATTTTTAATGAGGGTATTCAGGCACACAGAAAAACACATAATACACAAAATACACCATCCTGTAACCAAGCGCCTATGGATTTTGCATTTCGTTATGATGTAGACACAGTATTATATGCGGTGCTTTCTTCTTTATGGTGATGATCTTTCGGAAGCTACCTTTCGGAACTCTCTGTTAAAAATTCGGTTCTTCTTTCTATCAACTGTTGAATTCAGTACAGTAAATACATGTGCGTATTATTTATGTCTCTGATTAAAGCAGTTAATAATAAATGCTCCGTGAACTGATTGAATTGTTTTTAAAAGATTTAAAGTAGGGTAATAGAGTAAAATAAAATTCCGTCTATTTTATGGTATGAAGTGGAGAGAGAGAGAGAGAGAGAGGGGGGGGGGGGGGGGTAATGAGTATGATAGAAATATTTTAAGAGTGGGAAAAAATGGGGACATTTTTTCATCTTTCTTGTGAACAATATGATATTCAAAAAAGTTTCATTTCATATATAGGACAATCAACATCACATGTATTTATTTATTTAATATTTATTTATGTGTATTAAGGGGTAGTGCGCTAATTTTTCACAATGTAAATTACCCTTTTATCTCTCATTTTAATTGGAATAGGGGGTTCTACCACATAACTGTTTAAAAGTAAAATTCTGAAGTACAACCCACGACGACTCAATACAGTGACGTAGCATTGTTTTTGAAAGTGGGGGGAGGGGGATCAGCCGGAGAAAAAAATAACCTACATGAAGAAAGTGGACAAGCAAAAAACAAAAAACAAAAACAAAAACAAAAAAAAAAACCAACAAACAAAAGAAACAAACAAACATTGAACATTGTCAGTAGTAAAAGTTATGTTTAGGAAAAGGGGAGGGTGTTGCTACGTGCGTGTAATGCCTGCTCTGAAAATCGTTTGTCTTTTCCTGATACATAACATTTATATAGTACAGTTAAAGACAGTGAATATCAGCCATTTTTATAAGCCATAGTAAAACAATTAAAAAATTGGAATGATAAAAATATTTCAATGATAAGTGCATCTCTCTCTCATTGTAAACTATTGAAGTATTGATATGATCTCGATCTCGATCCCTCGTTGTAAACTACTGAAGTATTGACATGACTTCTACATTCCTTTAATTAATGTAGGGATAAATCCAGTCAATCAGTCAACGAAATCTAAACAAGCTTGAAATTCAACCATACTTAAATTTTTTCCAATTCCAAGAATCTTTGTTCTATTTTGACTCGATTGAGAATAAGTGCCCACAAATTACCAATAGAAGTTGGCAGATTATGTTGGGGTCAGGACCCCCCCCCCCTGAAATTTGCAAGGTTATTAAATTTACGCCCCTCGGAAAACGCAGACCCCCCTGGTAACCGCGATTTTGTGTTAAATTGATATGAAAATTCAAAGGTTTGAAACATCGACTCCCCCCCCCCCTTCTCCAAGAAATAGGTTTTTGAAGTTTGGGCGAGTTTTTCCTTGTCAAGAAATTTCTGGGTTGGGTTTTATTTTTTTTAAACTGGGTGGACCACCCCCCCCCCTGGAAAAAATTCTGGAGCCAAGCCTGAACTAAGAAGTGAATTTTGTACACTTTTTATTAATACGTTTATATCTTATGAAATTCTTAATTCGCAGATGTTAAATCTACAAGAAATATTTGTAACTTAAATTCATACGTGATGCATCTAATTAATATTAGAAAATTCATGTGACTAAACTATTATATTTGTTTACTTGTGCCACTTGTGTTTTTGTCAAAGTGAATAAATAAAAAATAAAGAATGATATATGGGTAAATATTGTGTGGTACATGATTATTCCGCTTACTTGTGGTTGATTCCCAATTATTAATGATTATTATTATAAAATCATGAAGAATGTTCATATCTATAAGAATGAAAAAAGTAAAACTTTCTAAATATAACAAGGGGGGTTCCGAAAGATCATCATCATAAAGAAGAAAGCACCGCATATAATACTGTGTCTACATCATAACGAAATGCAAAATCTACTGTACGGAATGCTAACTGGACCGGACATAATATTTAACGATCAGCTTCATCATAATAACAGAAATACTAAACATAATGATGAATATACTGTATATAATGTGAGAAGTACATAATATATTGTTGTGTTTACTTTACATAATGTTAGAACTACCGCATATAATGTTAGAACTACCGCATATAATGTTAGAACTACCGCATATAATGTTAGAACTACCGCATATAATGTTGAAAGCACTTCATATAATGATAGATGTACATAATATAATGACATATCTACATCATATAATAAGAGAAGTACTGCATATAATGGAAGTTGTACACGATATAATGTAAAAACTACTTCATATAATTAAAATAGTACCGCATATAATGAAGGAAACAATGCATATAATGTTTCATCCTCATATAAGACAGTCCCGGCGTTCCATATATCAATTTTCAATTTGCTACCGCCGGCTATGTACAATGTATAAGAAAAAAGATGAGAGACGTTCTACTCGTCTTCTCCTTGTTCTCAATGAGGCTAAATGCATGAAATGAGTACATGTAAATTTTAAAAGTTTTTCGAAAGATATAATTATTACAAATTGATTCTCTCTATTACTAAAATCTAAGTCTAGAATTTTTTGTTTCATACTTTTTTTTTCAAAGTGCGTTAAATGCGTCCATGGTAAAAAATGTTTACGTACACTCTTAACGCACTTTGAAAAATTTTTTCAAAGTGCGTTGAGTGTGTCCAAAACTTAACGCACTTTAAAAATTTTTTCAAAGTGCGTTGATTTTGTCCCAATTTAAACGCACTTTGAAAATTTTTTTCAAAGTGCGTAATTTTTTCAAAGTGCGTTGCAACACAGGGTATTTATTTTTCAGACATATGAACAACCAAACCGACCGCTGTTCAGAATACTTAGATGCGCAAAATTGAAACGAAGGAATTTTCGAGATGTTATGTACAGATTGGTTTATACCTACTAACTCTATTCCTATTGGTCCATTGAAGGACCGTTAAACATATACAATAATGTCATGTATTCTATACGTTCAGTCGAGACATCAGAGGTAGTGAAGTAAAATTAAAGTGATCTTATTTACAGACATTTATATTGCCTTTTGTGCTGTGTTACAAAAATTCCTCCATAGCTAAGTTGGACATCGCCCTTGATACTTGTTGCCGGTGTCATTCATTTTTTTTTTAACTTCACCTGTTGACCTAATTCAGGATTGTACACGTGCGATAATGTGGTCATGTAAGTATCTTTTAATTATATTTTGAAACCATTTAAACCCAGATCCAGTCTGTTGGGTATTTGTGCACACGGTGGAATTAGGGATACTCAGGTGTAAACATTTCCTTGCTTTAGAGGTCAAACGTAGATTCCCCTAACGTTAACTAGAGTGACACAAATCTGAAAGAGTGAATGAACAATAATAAAGTGCCTGTGTAGTCATATGAAGAAAATAATGTGGTAACGATGACTGATTGATAATAATTTATCTTATCACATAAATATGTACATGTATACACAAATTAATCAACCACCGTTCATAAATTCATTGCTTTGAAGTCCTTATAATGTATATACGCAGGATGGATAACTCTAGATTTTAAGACAAATGTGGCAAGATTCTAATTATTCATGGCATTATTGTAATAATAGTTAGCCAAAGGGACAACCTGACCAACTTATCACTTGATCTGTATTTACATATATACAGAACATTATGCTGGCTAGTGACCGGTCGCTTTAAGTAAAATACATGATGTAAAAAGAACACTGAATTTGTCAAATTTTCAGGGCACTGAGCCACAAACTGATATAATATGTAAACATGTTACGAGTGTGAGGAATTTAGAAAAATTGTTTTCAAAATAATTCAGAAATAAAGGTAAGTTAAAAGATATAAATAAAACTTCAGACTAAGTTGAATGAAAAAAAAAATATTAATTTTTTAATTCATTTTTGATGAAATGCACGGATAGATGATGGACACGCATATATATGTATATCGCATGGATAGATATCTATACCTATTTAACATATCAATGTGATATACACACTAGATGCGTGTCCACCTTCTGGCAGTGCACTTAATCATAAAAATAATTTTTTTTCTAGACATTTATATGATTCAATCATTCTCGTAGTATTTTCGTTGTAAACCAGTAATTGGCCCCTAGTGCCGCTCTTTATATTATCTCTTAAGTGTATTTATCTCTGCCTTTACATAATGTTAAAGGATTATGTTAAGCTACTATAGCTTATCTTTGTGATTGTCAACAAAGAAATGGGGTTTTGTTTACAAACAGAAAATCGACAGTTCTCACGGTTATTGAACACAACCAATAGACCATATATTACCACATTCTCCTCAAAACGAATACAGAAAAAAAAATCAGTCCGGGTCACGATTAAGGTGATGTGACAGATTTTCTAGCCTTCTGCCCAATCCTCGTAAATTCCGCGCACCTGCAAAATTTTCACGTGAAATTATGATCTGTTTATAGTTATAGAGTGACCAACCTTATCACATTGTTATTGTATTATGGACATTTCAGGAATGGAAAATTGTCTAAAGGTTGTTGTTTTGGGCGGGGAGTCCGTGGGCAAAACAAGCCTCATTCTGGTCAAGACCAAACACAAGTTCCCATATCGGAAAATCCCTCACTTGGCGGATCCAACAATTGTCAGGACTCGGATTGACGGGAAATCCTACACCTATTCTGTATGGGATACGAAAAAGGTGATTGATGACTCCAAAAACGTTAAGTATGACAGTTTTAATTGGACATTTTACTTGTAGATTTACATGTACATTTACTTGTAGATTTACATGTATTGATAGTATCTCGTTGACAGCGAGATTTGTAGTCATGCCCTCTAGAGGTACTGACTACTATTTCATTTAAAATTTATAATTTATTTATAAAATCACTATAATCCTTTTTATTTCACGATGCAGATTGAGGAGTGTGAGCAGCTTCACTCCCCCGCCCCCAGTCTGACGTCAGACGTGTTCGTGTTGTGTTTCTCGGTGGAGGACCGACATTCTTTCAGCTCGATGGTACAGAAATGGCTGCCTCGACTCAAGGTCAGCTTCCCCTACGTCCCCGTGGTTCTGGTGGCCTGTAAGACCGGTAAGGTTTGGGTCAGGGTAGACATGATAGATAAGCTTTGTGTTTTTATTTCTGGTTAGCTTTAATCTCTCCAGTGAAAGTAAACTTATCCCAACCTTGACACCACACTTGGTTGACTTTTTGACTCCCTTAATTGTATATTTTCTGGAGGAGATAAAAAAAACTCGAGCAAGTTAGGTACCTAGAATCATCACTGTCTTCAATGCATTTCGAATTGAACATTTTGTAATCAATTTAATCTAAGTTATATTTATACACGTATAAAGAATTTCATTATATGGATAACTGAGCTCAGTAATTCAATGCATTTGGTCACCAGGTTTTTGCAGTATTATGCTTGCTGCGTGCATTGTAAAAATAAAGATAAGTAAATAATTTGCAAGTTATCACTGTCTGTGTTTTCAGATCTTCGGTCATATCCCTCAGTTTCAGCAACAAATCACGTGACCTATGCGGAAGGAAGCGAGGTGGCGGATCAACATAATTGTTTGTATTGCGAGACCAGCGCTCTTTTGTCTGAGGGAGTCACAGACTGCTTTAACTTAGCTGTAATTACGAAACATTGGTATTATACGAAACGTTTGTAAAATAGTGCCAAATTAACCTTAAAATAGGTTATGCAAATATAGTGAATATAGTAGAACAAGTAACGTGAATAAACTGCTATTTATCATCATTTATCTATTACAAAGTAATGGTTCATACAACTTAAATCATCTACGGTGATCGTTTCATAAGGATTTATGGCTATGAAATATTTTTCTTCTGATTGGTTAAGAAGAATTAAGAGCCTTAGGGTGTAAATCTATTAACAGGTCAGGTATGCCGATTTGAACCTTGACAAGGGAGAGAACTCCGCATCTGACTGTTTTTGTATACCTGGTAGATCCCGTTCTAACATCCACGTGCAAATGGTCCGACCACCAGGTAAAAACTGGTCCCTCCACATTGTCATTTAATGTACATTAATTTTGAAAAAAAATTAGTTGGAGTCAGCTTAATTCATGCATTCAATTTGTCAAAAATCAGTCAAAAAATAAACTCATTAGATCTTAAGGGAATACATGTATTTTCCTTGTCTGTTTTAATTCAAATAGAGGTAAACACTGAATAAATTCTTTAATGTATTTAAGTAACATGTACGTTTTAGTGTGGTTCTTTTTTCTTATTGTAAGTGCCTATCTGAAATTTGTTGTAACTATATTTTCAGAAATTCCTCCAGATTTTGAAGTCGAATCTTCAACGTTTTCTGAGGAATGGTTACAGACTCTGTTGGATGGCAAGCATTTTGACGTCACATTTCTAGTACAAGAACACCCTTTTAGTGCTCACCAGGTTATTCTGTGTGCAGCCTCAGGATTTTTCTGTAGATTGTTTCAAACAGAAAATGTTAGTTTGTTTTTTTACCTCGTTTCTACTTTTTAGAGACATATACTAGTAGTTTGAGTATGATACGAGATATTGATGCTTTAAGCTTTGTAATATACCTTATACCACGATTTTGAAGCATTTCTGTTATCCCGAATGGATTTTTGTTTCAGATATTTACTAGTATACCTTCTCCAGTGTCATCTTTCTCTCGGGATAAGAAATCCAGACACTCCACTGTTCATATCGATAGCTCTGTTTCACCGGAAGTGTTCAGGATTCTATTGGAGTTTCTCTATACTGGTAATTTGAATGATAACCGTAATTTTTCAAGAAGACTAAAAGACGCACTTTATTTTCATATTCCAAAATTAATCTTGATATAAAAAATAATTCCAGGTTCTGTGTTTCAACATTATGAAGAGGAAGAGAGACGGGAACTAGCCATGGATCTGATCAATGTTGCTAGGATGTTTGAATTGATTGAACTAAAATGCATTTGTGAAAACATTCTGAACGAAAGAGAATATTTGAATCCCAGCCTCTGTAGCACAATTTGTGATCGGACAGGACGTAGAATGAGAGACTTGTTCCTGAATTGCGTGGACACTGCGGACGTGGTGTTTATAGTCAAAGGTGGTAAAACAAATCAAAATTAATCATGTAAAGTTATAACACTTATTTGACTCTTTTAACAATTCTATCATTCAATATATATAACCAGGAACCCAAATTTCTTTAGGATTGTTAAAGTCATCTTAAAGTATTTATAGCTGAGTCAAACATCAAACAAATTGTTTTAATTCTATTGTTTTTTCCCATGGTATATCATTTGAATGATATTGTGAATAAATGTAGGAGATGGCTATAATATGATGACAGGAAGTACATGTATCTATGATATTAGCTCATATTTAAAGATAAAGTTTTGTCATTAGTTTTCCTTGTTATTTTCAGGTAAAAGACTATATGCCAATAAAGTTGTGCTTTCAACTAGATGTGACGTCATGACTAGAATGTTTTCAGGGAACTTTATAGAATCGAAATCCGAATTGACGGAAATAGAAATCCCGAATATGACAACCGAAAGTTTTCTGTTGTTTCTGGAATATTTGTACTCTGATCATGTGAATTTTGATAGTGCTGATGTGTTTGAGGTGTTAAAAATAGCGGACATGTACTCTCAGAAACGGCTGATGACGATATGTGAATACTGTATAGCACAGAAAGCCAGATTATGGACGTTAAAGAAAAGGACAGATCTTGTGTTCCAAATGTTACTGTGTGTTCAGGTAACTCGTACATGTACCTGTTTTTATATCTTGGAGGTTCAAACCTATTGCCGTAGCCTTTCATAAGGCAAAAGAGCCAACTCTTGAATATAATTAATCAGAAAATCGAAAGTTAACCCTATAATTATCAAACATTTTTAATACTGAATATTTGTATCCATTAGATTTTGGACAATGTAAAATATTATTAAGGAAGTAAATCCCGTTGAAATCTTTTTTTATATAAATATTGATTCATTCGATTTAGTAAGTGGATTTTTTTCCTTTGCCATGAGATAAAATGTGCTTTTTTTATCTGTAGCCATTTCACACCGTGAACCTAGTTTCTTGGTGTTTGTTCGAGCTCTCCAAGAATGTTGACAAAGTTAAAAACAATAGGGAATACTGTAAACTTACAGAGGAGAACAGGAGGATCCTAGAGTCCCGGGGGTCATCACAAGGGGACAAAGCCCAGGGGTCACAGTTCGACCCTCACACTGCAGAAAGAAGTACATGTGTGATCCTTTGAACAGGCGAAAGCATTATGACTCCCGTCTCTATAGGAACAGGGAAGGAGAATCTACTGCGACTGGGGGCAGGAAGGATGGTGATCTTGGTTTTTTTTTTAAAAATTATATATAAGATGTCTCGGAAAGGGCAGCTCAATATTAATGGAATAGTTCATATTTGTACATGTACGAGTGGAATGGATGTTTAATGGACGTATACCGGTATGCTGTGATATTTTTTAAATAAAATATTTTTAAAAATTGTCAACTGATAGTTATAATTTTATTTTGATAAAAAGTATCTTTCGTACAAATCAGCAAATCATGTACTAGTATGGTATGTATAAACACAAAATTGTCTTTAGTTTAATACATGATTGCAGACTGTGTAAGACATTCTATCTAAAAATGCAACACAATATGCATATAGTGTTGCAATTATTATGTCTGATGAAAGTGTTCCCCTTTGGATGCTAGTAATCTCGGATGTTTACTGTTCACAATTGGACTTGGGTTTTATGTATGGAACCTTGACTTCCGGTCGTCTGAAGTAATCTCCGTACACCTGTATAAGAAAGAGATTTATCATTGAATTATAAGCATAAACGCGATCACGATTTTGATGGATGTTTCAAACAGTATAATACATGTACATTATTAGGAACTCGACAAGCTCTTATTACAGATCAGCGGCCCTTTTCAAAAAAAAGAAAAAAAATCTTGCGACTAAGACAAAAAATTTCCAGTTCTCCAACAAGTCGACATTGTAGTAGATCACAAAACTCTTATTTTTCTATATAATTATACAACTTTGTAAAAAATATGTTGGGAAAAAAAATAAATATTTCTATCAATCGCAAACTTACAGAGTAGAGAAGTCGTAAGATTTTTTGTGAAAAGGGTCATATTTGTATGTCTTACTTGGTTTGTTTCGTGTAATTTTTTTGAATCGGTATAATTCCATTTTACAAATATTTGAAAATCAAATCAACAGTACACTTTGGAAATCTTACAAAGGTATTTTACATCAAATGTACGAATACTTTTATTTATATTTAATATAAACAAATATTTTTTACTTTTGTTCTAATCTCTACGTGTAAGTACCTTTGAAAATTGTGATATTATAAACTTGATTTTCAAAAATTGTTGATCAATGAAAGACAAATGCTGTTAAAGAATTTCATTTCATTGATAGGCGTACCTTTGCCAAATGATAGTTGACAGCTAAATATACCATATCTAAAAAAATAAGTTAAATCTGGTGGTTAGTTTAGGATTAAATTGTTGACGAAAGGGAGTTTTTATTCATTGAAAGGCATACGTTTAGAGAATTTCTGTTCAACCATAAAAATTCTTAGCTTATTTTTTTGTAGGTAGATTCTGTTCAACAATAGATTAACATCTTAGGAATTTATTTGCCTTGCGAGAATTTGTCCAGTCATAAACATATCTTAAGTAAGAGAGTGTCTGTTTAATTATAGACTATAATTTTTCCAACTACAGAATTCTTGTTCAGTCATCATAGACATACCTTTTGTGGAAGTTCCGTTTAACCAAAAACCTTCCATCAGAAATTTGATGGATTCTTATTTTAAAACAAAATGTGTTTGTCAAACACTATGAGCCCGGCGGCAACAAAGTTAAAAAACATATCTTTAGCATAAAGGTCACAGTCAAGGTCACAAGGTCATTGATCTTGGTGTCATTTGTAAGAACTTGATTAGTAAAGTAAACATACCAAATATGAAGTCTCTGTCTCTCATGGTTCAAAAGTTATTATGAAGGTTCAAAAAAGCTATTTTTGCATATAGGACACAGTCAAGGTCACAAGGTCATTGACCTTGGTGTGATGTGAAAGGGCTTTATTAGTGGAATATACGTGCCAAATATAAAGTCTCTATCTTTCTTCATTCAAAAGATATGGTGAAGATTAAAGTTTGCTAATAAAAAACTATATTTAGCGTAGAGGTCACAGTCAATGTCACAAGGTCATTGACGATGGTGTCATTTAAAAGAACTTAATAAGTGGTGTATGCATACCAAATATGAAGTCTCTATCTTTTATGGTCCAAAAGTTATGTCGAAGGTTAAAGTTTGCAGAAAAAAAATATTTTTAGCATAAAGGTCACAGTCAAGATCACGAGGTCATTGACCTTAGTGTCATTTGAAAGAGCTTAATTAGTGGAGTATGCATACCAACTATGAAGTCTCAACTATTGATTGTTCAAAAGTTATGGCGAAGGTTCAAGTTTGCAGACAAACAGACAGACAGACAGGACAAAAACAAATATACGCCTCGGATCTTTCGATCCCGGCGCATAGACAGACAGACAGGACAAAAACAATATATGCCTCGGATTAAAAATACTCACTCCGTTGAACTCCTATGTAACAATGCTTATGAAGTAGCATTTATGGAGATTATAAAAGAACTCAACGTTATACCTTTTTGCCTCTGTAGAAACACTGATTGTTAAAACCAGACATGTGTGATTTGTTCCGGAACTTTGCCCTCACGGAAGGGTCCTTCCAGTCAATATGGTTGATCAAGTTGTTGAGTCGATTCATTTGATTGTCATGATGGTGGTCTACCTGTTTTAGAAACATGGTCATTTGGTCCATGGCGAAATCAGAGGGTGCATCGTGGGCAGGGGAACTCAGACAGGCATCGATCGGGACTTTGGGGTAGTACATTAGGAAGGAGAGACACATTTCATCTCTAATGCCAAGTCCTCCCTAAAGACAAAGGCAAATGAGGGAAGATGACATTCATTGAAAATCTTATTTTCTACAATAATATTAAAAACATGGGAAGGTAAAACCCACTTATATTATAACCATTAGAGTTTTTATTTTGCCTTTACTATAGATTAAGTGTCTACGTCTTACCATTGTAACATTTTTCCGTGTTTCAGAGTTGTAGTTACATTCTATAATCAAACTGTCACCCTGTCATTGAAGGAAAATACCGATTAATACTTATGATTAGCAATAACATTTATACACCATAGATCTATAATTTTTTTCTTAATATTGAGCAATCATTCAAGAATCATGACCCCTGTATTTAACACTGACCGACTTAATTGTTATTTCCTTCTGCAAAACATTAGCTGCTTGAAAATTGAAGTCATAATTTTCATCATTTGCAATTGGTGGCTGCTCCACACCATTACGTATGAGCCTCGTTTTCATTCCATTAGCAAGAAGATGTGAGTGATGAAAAAGAGCAAATACTCTTATTTCATCGGTGGCGTTTGGTAGTGCCTAGAGTAGACAAGAAGATACTGCTTAATAATTTGACAAGATACATGTGTATTTTAAAACGTCGATATTCAGAGAATGTGTGTCAATGAAATTATATATTTTCTCATTTTACACACCATTTTGAGACACTCGGGTGAACAAATGCCTTCTGACAAGAACTTGGTCTCGTGTGGTGGAATAAACTGAGTAAGAGTTATTTCCATTCCCGTTTCCATGACGCCAGCCTCGTACTGACGCAACTGATTTGTGTAGAAGATTCGAATTCCCGAATTGTCCAGAATATCTGTAGAAAAACGAACATAGCGAGTTTTGATATTAAAACGAGATCAAATCATCTAGACCTAATTTACAAGTAAACATGTTCGTGTGTATTTATTATTTACCATCTCTTAAGTCTGGGTTGGAGTAGTGGGTCTCCATGACAAAAAATGTCGGGTCACCTTCTGCTCCCAAAGACATCCCAGCATTCTCCGGCCAAATGAAAGACTGAAATGGAAGCATTAAACTTTAGCTAATAATGCACTTGGGACAGAGAAACTACCAGTATTACAAATGGTTATGTATATATCAGAAGGAAAGAGAAAAGGAGAGAAAGAAAAGACGAGGAAGGAGTAGGAGGTAGGACTCGAATATTTAGTGAGTATCAAGAGTCGATGTCTTTAAACTTAAATTTGCTTTCGTTTAAAAATTTAATTCTGTGTAGAGTTTTTAATGAAAGGATATCAAAAATGTAATTCTTTATTTAACTTTTTGTACCGACACCGGGATATTTCATAAGGGTAATTTTACTTCAGACTAAATCTTCCAGATTTTTTTCATGACCTATCCAGTAAAATGTTAGTAAAGTTCTTGTTAAAAACATACTTACGCCAGCCCCGATTTCATACATAAGGAAGACGGACCGACACTGAGGGCGGTATTCTTTAGTGAGCTCGTAACAGTCATAGTCCATGTGGGCTAAATTTGATTCCTCCCCGCGACACCGGTATAAGACGACATGGTGCACTATTTTTTCGTTTCCTGGGGTCAAAACTGGATCGTACTATAACAATATTTGAAATTTCATTTTGAGGACTGTTTTGAAGAGAATCCAGAAAAAGACACCGGCAGAGTTGAGTTCGAAATAAACTTTGTCACTCACCCTGATCACGTGACGTTTACCCCCGATGTTGGGCATGTTAAAAGTAGTGCAGTGATAGAAGGTGTCCTTTGGTGGAACTTTGAACTTATAAGAAAAATGATAAAAGCTTTTTACAATTAATGTAAGATAAATAAAGTAGAAAAATTTTGATGAATTTTGGCGGATTTAAGAGTATGAATTCCCCTGCTTTATTTTGTATAAGTACGATAGCTCTTTAAATTAAAAATTTGAAAGGATATAACAACTTATGATTCTGTTCTCGATTTAATAACTAAAAATAATTCAAACAGGAATAGATATCTAACACTTCTAGAAAGTTTTTTTCGATGAATTTTGTTTTTTGAGTCTACTTTTATTCAACCTTTTTGAGGCACTTCTGATTCTTATAAATATCGAAAGAGGAGAGTTGCAGCTATGCATACCAAGTTGTTTTCCCCATTGATGCCATTCAGGAAGTCAAAATATTTTGCGTCCTCCGGGAGTGGCGGAATCTCCGCCCGGGCCTCCAGTAATCGAACACTTTTGAACCCCCTTCTGGAGCCCCCGTGATAAGACAAACTGTCGTCGGACTCAGGATCATCTGGGTGGTAGGCGTAAATGACCCTCAAAGTATCATGCTACATTCGGATTAGGAAAGGAAAACAAAAGAAAGTATAACGTATTATTGCTCTTTGAGTTCTTGGAATTTGATAATCAGAATATGTTAACTAGAGCAAAGCTCGTTGCAAAGCAACGAGAAGGTCTTCCGTCCTGTTTGACCGGAATTAACTTTCATTTTTACAAAAATGAGTAATAGCGTCCTAAAATTGTTTAAATCCTCTAAATCTATGTCATTTAATGCAAAAATCAGCCATTTTTTGCTACTTTCGGTTTTTGACCGGAAGTGACGACGACGGACGGAAAATTAATTTTTTTTGCTCCCAGTGACAGATGTTACCCAAAAACTTGTCAAGAATGGCAAAATATGCGTTTTCCGACTACTTCCGGTTTGGCCGGAAGTGACGTCGCCGGACGTACTTTGACGACCTCAATAGATTGAGCTTGACATTTTGAAGAACTTTGCTTCTTTGACGTTTACAACTTCTCAATACTTTTTGAGATATAAAGGAAAAACTTTTGGCCCCTCTTGGCCCTTAATTTTAGGGGCCAGCCCTTTTTCCATGGTATCATTTGAAAGATCTTTTAATTCTGCACAAATTATATTCAATATATTTTAACAAAATATTTCTTGTTTAGAAGATAAAAAGCAAAATATGAGTAATTTTTGGCTCTTTTAAGTGTTCTAATTTTTGACCCCTATATAGCGCCATTTTGAATAGAGAAATCGAAAAACAAAAACCGATGTGCACAACTTCAATCCTTCTATTATCTAAAATCAGTAAAATTTTTGCTCCAGCTTTAGCCGTCTCTGAGCCTTTGTCTGGAAACGAAAGCCTACAAATTTTCGTTTAAAGGGAAATTACTCAAAACCGGAAGTGACGTTTTGAAATTTTCGACAGCATTCTGATAGAGTTTAGTAATGTCTAGTAACTCTGAAAATTTGAGCAAAATCAATTGAGAAATGAGTGAGATATGATGCTTCAAAGTTGGCGTCTAGGAAGTAGAAGAAAAAAAAAGAATAATAATCTTTACCAACAGAATCAGTAGAAGGTCTTCCGTTGGAAACGGAAGACCTTAATAATCTAATCAACAATGAAAAACGAAGACTTCTTTTTAATTCTACTAGTTCTTCAAAAATATCAATATGAATAAAAAAATATTTCAAACACTATTCAAACTTTTTTGGCTGAAAAAAAAAGACTTACAGAAACTATGATATCCTTTGAGTCACACGTGTCTAGAGCGCGCACGAATTTTAGAACGGTGCCGAACTCATTTTCATCGGCGCGGAGGAGTTTGTAATCTTGTGATGCGTCCTTCTCGGGTAGAAAGTGACCAGAACTAAAGCGATCCTAAAAAGGGAAAATACATTGCTTTCACAAAATATTCTACCCTGAACTTTTTTTATTTCGAACCGACGAACGTCAGTTATATAAAACTATTCTCTTTATAAATTATCCATGCAATGACAGTATAGTAACATCTACAAAAATTGCACTCGAAACATTTACTAGTATACAAAATTACTATTCTTAGAGAAGAAAACATGTAGCATTTTTAACTGAATCTGGTTAAAACGTGTAAAAGGGGAATAGACAAACAATTGGAATGGATACAGGTTGTGTTCATCAACAGTTTTTAAGAAATTTTCATTTTATTATATAAAGACAAATGATTTCGAGTAATTGAGTAGTATAAAAGTGCTATCTTCACCAACCATACAATTTATAATACTATAATGATAATATTGACTGAATTATTTAAAATTTACAGAAACGACATACTGTAAACACCGTTGATCCATCGGGCTTGACCCACCCAGTGACGATATCCGCCGGGTACATCCGCCCAGTCTTTGACAGTCCAAACCCGACGTATCCGTGGGTTTTAGCGTGAACTTCAAAAGTGATGTGCGAGTCGTTAAATTTCCAGAAAAGAAAATATTCTCCATTGTCTGATAAATCTAACATGTAGTTGTATTTTTCTGTTGCGGTAGGTTTGTATGGACAGTCTTGTTTGTTAGAATGAACCGCGTACAAACAAATTCCAACGAAGACCAGCAAAACAGACCGAAACATGGTGAGAAGCTGTGTTATCAAGTGAAAATGGAGAAAACTTGGGGATTGCTGAAGTTTTATATTGTTAGTTTATCATCAAAGTTACATCTGATTGGACGGGGTTCTTTAAAAATAAGCTTGTCTCAAGGAGAGAACACAATCTAAGACATTCCTTCCAACTTAATACTACTTTTAACTGTCGAACTAGGGGTAATTTTGAAAGAAATCAGCTTTTTTGTCTTTTGCAAATTTTCTTTGATGAATTTATTCCATAATCAGTATATCTCATAGAATTTCAAAATCAACAACAGTCATGAAGTGTATATTCAGTTGCACCTTGCACTTTCATTAAAACGCTCTGTATCACTTTTGCAGCGACACAATTTAAAAAAAAAAAAAGTTATGAATTAAACTTTATAACTGTGTAATCATTACAACATCTTGATTTTACCAACTCTCAGTTCCCTTTTTAGCTCACCTGAGCCAAAGGCTCAAGTGAGCTTTTCTGATCACAGTTTGTCCGTTGTCTGTCGTCGTTGTTGTCGTCGTTGTCGTTGTAAACTTTTCACATTTTCATCTTCTTCTCAAGAACCACTGGGCCAAATTCAACCAAACTTGCTACAAAGTATCCTTGGATAAAGGGGATTCAACTTTGTTCAAATGAAGGGCCACGCCCTTTTCCAAAGGGAGATAATTATGAATTAGAGAAAAATTAATGGCATTTTTAAAAAATCTTCTTCTCAAGAACCACTAGGCCAGGAAAGATGAAACTCATGTGGAAACATCCTCAGGTAGTGTAAATTCAAGTTTGTTCAAATCATGACCCCCCGGGGCTAGGGTGGGGCCAAAATGGCCGATCAAAGTTTTACATAGGAGTGTATAGGAAAAATCTTCTTTTCAAGAACCACTGGGCCAGGAAAGCTGAAACTCATGTGAAATCATCCTCAGATAGTGTAAATTCAAGTTTGTTCAAATCATGACCCCAGGGGGTAGAGATTAGTAAATATGGCCGATAAAAGTTTTACATAGGAATATATAGGAAAAAATCGTTAAAAATCTTCTTCTCAAGAACCATTGAGACAGGAAAGATAAAACTCGTGTGAAATTATTCTCAGGTAGTGTAGATTCATGTTTGTTCAAATCATGACCCCCAGGGCTAGGGTGGGGCCAAAATGGCCGACCAAAGTTTTACATTGGAATATATAGTGAAATCTTTTTAAATCTTCTTTTCAAGTACTACAAAGCCATGATTAGTAATATTTATATGGAATCATCCTCAGGTAGTGTAGATTCTAGTTCGTTCAAATCATGATCCCATGGGGTGTTAAAATTTAAGCCCCCCCCCCAACCTCAGTAAACTTTCAGTTCTGATCTGAGATGTGCTTTTTCCTAGCCGATGTGCTCAGGTGAGCGCTGTGGCCCCTGGGCCTCTTGTTTCATACAGAAATAGTCAATTTAATTTGTACGACAGAGACACCATTATTCTACGGTTTCTTCAGTGGTTTGAACATGGTACGCCAAAATGCTTTATTGCACCCAAAGTATTTTTGTCCCCCGCTTTCGCGAAAGCGAGGGGACATTAAATCTCATTCGTCTGTCCGTCTGTCCGTCAGTCTGTCAGTCTGTCAGTCTGTCAGTCTGTCCGTCACAAAAACTTTAACCTTGCCCATAACTTTTGATTTAGTTGAGCTATGACTTTCATATTTCACACGTGTATTCCTTGTGACAAGACATTTCTTTGGGTACCACCAAATTTGACCTTTTGACCTTGACCTTGGAGTTTGACCCACTTTTACACAGAAATTTCAAACTTTTACTTTGGCCATAAATTTTGAATGGAAGGTACTAAGACTTTCATATTTCACAAATGTATTGTTTGTGGCAAGATCTTTCATTGGATACCAACAACCTTGACCTTTTGACCCTGACCTTGGAGATTTACGTACTTATAAAAAAACGTTAACCTTGACCATAAGTTTTGAACGGTGAAGACTAAGGCTTTCGTACTTCACATATGTAATCCTTGTGAGAAGACCTTTTATTGGATACCAAGAACTTATACCCTTTGACCTTGACCTTGGAGTTTTAACTACTTTTTAAAAACTTTAACCTGGGTCACAACTTTTAAACAGTAGATACTAGGACTTTCATATTTCACATATGTATTCCTTGTTGCAAGACATTTCATTGGATACCAACAACCTTGACCTTGGAGATTTACATACTTATGAAAAAACTTTAACCTTGACCATAACTTTTGAACGGTGAGGGCTAGGGCTTTCGTACTTCACATATGTAATTTTTTTGAGAAGACCTTTCATTGGATACCAAAAACTTTTACTCGTTGACCATGACCTTGGAGTTTTAACTACTTTTAAAAAAAACTTTAACTTTGGTCACAACTTTTGAACGGTAGATACTAGGACTTTTATATTTCACATATGTATTCTTTGTGGCAAGTCCTTTCATTGGATATCAACAACTTTGACCTTTTGACCTTGACCTTAAAGATTTACGTACTTATGTAAAAACTTTAACCTTGACCACAACTTTTGAACAGTAAGGGCTAGGGCTTTCATACTTCACATATGTAATCCTTGTGAGAAAACCTTTCATCAACAACTTTGACCCTTTGATCTTGACCTTGGAGTTGACCTACTTTTAAAAAACGTTAACTTTGGCCATAACTTTTTAACGGTCAGGATAAGGGTTTCTATCCTTCAAAAAAATGAACTTCAATGATAATTTCTATGAAATGACATATGATAGGATGTTCATATTAGACACAATATGTCATAAAAAATAACATCTCACCAACAAAGACACCGAAAGCGGGGGACCACAATTCTTTGAATTTGCTTGTTATGTACTGTAGACCTTTGTAATGAATTTAACTGGTAAATCATCAATTGGCAGGTGTTAAGAATAAAGTTCTCCTGCAATTTGCTTGCTCCTTGGAATGATGTTCGTATCCATGGCCGTAGGAACTGATATTAAGGACACCATACGCTTTTACTTCCTCAAAAATAACGTCTTTTGACCTCTTTTTTTTAAATTGCTTGTCAAGGACATTTTGTTACTTGAGAGTGCCCCTCAGTGAAAATGTACCCCCCCCCCCCCCAAAAAAAAAAACACACCTGAAAATGCTTCCTACGAGGCCTAATGTATTATTATATATAGCAGGCCTGACCGTCTTTAATTTAATGTTGTTTACTCCTAACGCCAATGAATTGTCTTGTCTGAGGACCATTGTATACATACAATTCATAAAATTTGATCAATGGAACAAATGTTGATTTCTATTGCCAATATTTTCATTAGTCATTTATGATAGTTTACATAAAACAAAGTCTTATTCATGTAATTGTTACAGAAATTTCAGATCCCGAAATTTTTTAAATATTAATTTTTGTTCACTAAAAATAAATTTCAAGAACGATAATTGAAAGTTAAATTTTGTATATGGATGCATTTTATTTTACAAAAACAGAAAAGATTTGTGATATTCTGATTTTAAATGCAACGCTTCATTATGTTTCTTTATGTGAATTAGATAGGTGGGATAATAAATATAATTTTCATATAAACTCATATTTTCAATTTTATTGTGAGAAAAAAAAATGATCCTTACTATTTACCATATTCACATCATGATTAGACATAACATTCATTTCTGAAAAAGTAAGTAAAGCTTCATATTCCATGCTATTTTCTATTTGAATCTAATGCAATTTTTGTTTATATCAGTGTTGAGATTTTCAACTTAAAAATCTTTAAAGAAATTTTAGAAACTTCAAAATCATAAAATTATTCAAATGTATATTAAATCAAATCTACGACTTTTCTATAATTTATTCATCAATTCCTCACGATAAATTAAAGTCTAAATTTTGATATCATAGAAAAGTTTCTTTAAAAAACAAGTATCAAGAATCAAGCAAAAAATTAACTTCTAGACCTCATTAGTCTTCTTTCTTGAGCATATAATAAAAGCTACTCGGGAAAAAAGTATATCATTAACTTGTCATTGTTTTAAAATACTAGTATATCACTTTCGACTGATACATAAAAAGAGCTCTCTTTTTAAGTATCAGTCGAATACGATATATATTTAAAAACGGCTAATAAAGACACACGCGTTACATTACCGATACCAAGTAGTGCGTATTAGACTACCAAAATAAGAAAATGTTGCGTCGACCCCAGATTTAAAAAGAAAAAAATGAAAAGGAAGGATAGGGGTCCAGCCCCAAGTGCCTGTGATAATGAAGAGCAATTCTATATAATAAGCAATCTTCATCACCTGCATACGGGGATTTTATATCTCTCAGTTGATGCAATTTGCAAGAGCATACTCTACGTAAGAGCAATTTCTAAAACGATGTAAGTTATTGACAAAAAAGTTGATGAAACAAGATTATCAGCAGTATCGTTTAAAGTCACCATTTCGTAAGCTCTATCGTCGACACAATGACCTTGTCAGCAAATACAATCTATCAATAAGTCAAATGCTTCACTGACGTTTTACATACTGATTTTTAGGCCATCGTATTTATACACTGAATTGACTACGGATTTTCCGTTATTTCCCGATCATTACAAGGAGCTTACGGCGGGTGTGACCAGTCAGCAGGGGATGCTCCATCCATGAATGAAGTTCTCTTTGTTAAGGTTCACCATGCTCAACAACAAAGAGGGAAATGTGTTATTTATTTTATCATTTATCCCATGTTTACCCTTTCATCCCTAGGATATCACTCATTAGATATTATTTTCTTATTTCCTATCTAGCTTGTAACACGAGCTTTGATTGGTTACAAAGTCGGGTGTAAATATCCGTGCACCCGACTTGAGCCGGGTGTAAATAAAACGTGACGTCACAATGCATAGTTTTTCTATAATACAAAGCAAATCGATATGTTGAGACACACTCTAAAGCATTGTTATATGTACAAAGGAAATAAATTCGTTATCCAGGTTCAATCAAGGGTGTACGGGGATTTACCCCGGGTTGTATTCCATACACCCTTCGGCCTCAGGGTGTATGGAATACAACCCGGGGTAAATCCCCGTACACCCTTGATTGAACCTGGATAACTAATAATATCCCCCTGCTCAGAAGTCACAATGACATTAGCGTAAAAATGATAAAGTAAAATTTGAAGTAGATTCCTTTATTTAAAAAGTGTAAAATG